CCTTACTCAACACAGGCAGATATTTTGCATCTACTTTTTCAAATTCAGAGAGTCCTTGAGTGAGTCGGTTTGATTCTGACGTTATCCAAGGATACAATTTACATGAACATCATCTTCCATGGTTGTCGTGATGCTGCTGCGCTTTGAGAAATGGGGGGAGATTCTCCACTGCTTTACCATATGCATACACTATTTGGATTCCAAAGGCTATGGGAGCCAGTTAAACTTGATATTATCAGTGGCATTATTCTTGTTGGGTAGACATCCTGGGGAGGAAGTGCTTTTTTCAAGGCTAGGTTAGGTATTCTTAAATTCTCCCCATTTTCTTTAGATAAATATACAGTGTTAGAATGTCTGAATCAAAGAAGTATGATGATTGTTTTAAGGATATTGATATTTATTTTTTATTTACTTAAGACATTTCAGTGTTGGCAGATACAGTTACTCTCCTTGGAAGCAAATAGATTTCCAGAGTTTTCAAATATTACTTTGGACATACGTTTTTCAACAACTCTATTGTTGAATGATTAATGCATGTCTGAAAATAAAAGGATAGAAAAATAGGGAAAGTAAAAAGAAGAATGTGAAAATCACTTGAGGTCTATTGAATCTACTTCTAAAATATGAAATTTAAAAGAAGAAGAATAGAAACTATGTTTTGGCAAATCTGCATTTATGGAGAATGGGCAGAGATGTCCCAACCTGACACGAGAACTTCCCTGGGTAAGTAGTAACACGCTTTCATTCACTGAAATCAATTCTGGAGATGAGGAAAAGAGGGAGAGTTAACCGAATTCGAGCTCAGTATGAGAAACTTTATTTGACATGTGAATTAGAAGAATTGGATGCTAGGAGCCTGAGGAAGGAAGCAGGACGGGTTAGCTGCCTGCTGTGGATTGAATTGAGTCTCCCAACATGTGTATTGAAATCCTAGCCCCTTTACTTGTGGATGTTTGGAAATAAGGTTTTTCTTTTTTCATGTTAATGGAATCATTCCAGTGGTTATGAATACTAACTGTTCACTTTATAGTCATGAAAAGAGCAGAGTAGAAACAGGCACACACTGAGAAGACAGATGCCAAGGAACACCTAAGGTGGCTGGCAGACACTGGAAATAGGAGAGACCAAGGCCACGATTTGGACTTTTAGCCTCCAGAACTGTAAGGAATTAAATTTCTGTTCTTTAAACCAATCCACTTGTTATTCTATTATGGCAACAATAGTAAATCAAGACCTTTAAATATTTAAAGGACTATCTGGTGGAAATGAAAATAAGCTCATCTATGTGGTTACATCTGTGGATACTAATGAGAGGCATACTTTTGTTCTGTATTAAGGAAGGGCTTTATATTGTGAAGGGATGATATGCATACATCTCTTATCTCTATAATCCTGACTTTGGTAGAGACTAGAAGGTGACCACTTAGGCATTTATGCATAGGTATTAAATTACAGTGGGTGCTCTTTGGGTCCTATCTGACTTATATTTGCATGGATCTACCATCTTGCCAGTCAATATCTCCCAATGTTGACAATATGGAGAAATTAAAGAGCATCCGCTCATATTAGCTTGCCTTCAAGATCCAGTAAAAGAAAGGCACCTGGGACCATAGTAGTTCACTAGGCAGAAGAGTAGAGCATATTACAATATGTATAATTCTGTCAATATTTGCTTTGTTGTTAGGCACATATATATTTATAATTGTTATCTTCCTGATGAATTGGTTCTTTTCTTTTTTTTTCTTCATTCTGTTCTTTAGATTATACTTGTATGATCTATTGATGTATTTTCATATCCACTGATCTTTACAGGTTACTATGAGTGGCATCGACTCAATGGCAGTGAGTTTGGTATGGTTTTGATTCTTTTGCCAGTTCAACTCATGATTAAGCCCTCTGAATGTATTTGTTGTACTTTTTAAATACAGAAAATCCATATATATAAAGTCTAGTGGTATTTTCTTTTGGGTGAGACATCATCTTAACACCATCTTTTATTTTTTAAAGTGTTCTTTTACATTTTTAAAATCACTTATATCTCTTGTGCATTGAATACATTTCTTTTGAATATAGGTGAATTAAAATCTCCCTTTTTGCATGTTACCCTTTTACCTGACAGTATTTTTTACTAAGCATAATTTAAAAATTTCATGTAGCTGCTCTTTGCCTTTACTGTATATCCTTAATGCTTCTACTCCTGTAAAGAATTACAGTCTCAGAAGCCCACAGGGGCAGTTCTACCCTGTCCTGTAGGGTCACTATGAGTTGGAGTTGACTTGATGGCAGAGTTGTTTTAATATATGGTGATCTCTCTAAATAACTTGGTGACTTTCAGAAGAAAATTACTTTTTCTCACAGTTTAGGAGGCAAATCTGAATTCAGAGGGCTAACTCTTAGGAGAGAGCTGTCTGCTTTGGAGGAAGGTCCTTCTCTCTGAGCTTCTTCCTGCTCTTGGGTGGATCTTCATGTTCTGTGACATCTCTTTCCCTCTGTCTCTGCTATGCTGGTTTGTTTAATTTTTTGTAGAGATTGATTCAAAATACACCCTACACTAATCCTGCCTCATTAAAACAACAAAGACCACCCATTCTCAAGTGGGATTAACTGCAGGCATTTAGGTTAGGATTTATAAGACATTTTTGGAGGCACAATTCAATCAATAACTGGTATGAAATAGGCAGCCAGTTTTCATCTTAACCATATAGATAATTAGGAGCCCTGATGGCATAGTGTTTATGCTGACTTCAAGGTTAGCAGTTCAAAACCACCAGCTGACTAGGAGCAAGAGAAGACTTTCTACTCCTGTGAAGAGTTACAGCCCTGGAAATTCACAGGGAGCAGTCCTATAGGGCTGCTATGAGTAGGGATTGACCTGATGGCAGTGTGTTTTCATTTTTGTTTGGTATCTAGATAATTAGTTGACCAAGCTCCATTGTTTTCCTTTTCTCACTGATGTGTAGTGTTTCTTGGGAAGATTTGATATGACATATTTACATGAATGTTTTGGTGTTCTCTGTACTATTGGTCAATTTGTATAGTATGTCATAGGGGGAAAAAAGACCCCCAATTAAACTATGTTTTATTGAGACTCCTTTATTAAGTCTTAAATGGGACCACAACAAAATAACCATTTGGTTGAAAGGCATCAGCATAGGGCCATTATAGTGTAGAAAGCTGCTAGTCACAGGGCTAAATTGTAGGTCATGGCAAATAAAGCAGGCTCATCCCAAAATCATGATTGGGAATAGGCCGGTTTCTCACAGTTGCAGGCAAGATTATGGAAGTGGGAAAGGGATCCAGATTGGGATATACACACTGAAGCAAACTGGAAAAATTTAAAGGATTGATTCTGAGGGTCTCCAGCTGTCTTGACTGCGGCATGACACATAGCCATGTGTTTTAGTCTGGGTAGAATAGAGAAACGAAGTTCATAAACACTCATAAGAGAGTTTTTTTTAAAATTGTTTTATTAGGGGCTCATACAACTCTTACCACAATCCATACATACATCAATTGTGTAAAGCACATTTGTACATTCATTCCCAGAGAGAGTTTTATATAAAGGTAATTGTACATTAAGGATCCCAACCCAGCCCAGTCCAAGCCCATAAGTCCGACATTAGCCCATATGTCCGACATCGACCTACAAAGTCCTCCTCAAACTCAAAAAACACATGTATTGATGCTGAATGCAAGAAGAACATCAAATCAGTGAGTGAGTGTGTAAGCATCTCAGTGCTGGCAGGGTCTCCACGCAGCTTCTGCACCCAGGACTGCATCAGGGTAGGTAGGTCCATGTGGATGTCTCACAGGAAGTGAGCCTTGCCAGCTGAGGCAGAGAACTAGCTAAGTCAGCCACAACTAGTTCTACCATCAGAGAACAAGAGACCAGAAAGGTGAGGCTCGCTAAGCCATTTATCTCTCCGCTCTTCAATTAATCCCATGTGTGTTCATTGGCCAGGTTGGCACAGTAAACCTTAACTATCACACCATGTGACCCTTGTATCTCAACTTTTTTAAAGAGGCATGCCCAGGCAGGTCCCTGAAGGTAAGACTGCCCCTCTTTGGCAGTATAAGGGCAGAGCTTTTTACATTGCTGGTCAATGGTCAGAAATAACTCAATGGAGGCTGAATCGATGGGGAGACTCAACCCAGAGTTAGGGCTCCTACTGTAAACAGCCTTCTGCTGCAAACCTGGTCCTTAGAATTTAAGCTCTAATACAAGTGCCTTGTTACTATATGTACTATCTTAATTACTGTAAGTTTTTGGTTATCAAGGAAGTTTTACCTTTTGTAATAGCTTAGTGATAGCTATTTGCTTAAAGTATTCATATTTTAGTTTTGAGCAAAAATAATTGTCCATATTCTATGCAATAATGAGGAGCCCTGGTGCAATAGTGGTTTATGCTTTGGGCTATGAACCTGAAAGTCAGCAGTTCTAAACCACCAGCCACTCCTTGGGAAAAAAGGGGAGGTAGACTTTCGACTACCATAAAGAGTTAGCTTCAGAAACTCACAGGGGCAAGTCTACCCTGTTCTGTCGAGTCACTATGAGTCAGAATTGCCTGGATGGCAGTTATTATTATTTTTTAAACAGCTTTATTGGAACATAATCCATATATCTACAGTTCAATATAGTTCATATCAAGAAGAGTTATACAGCCATTACCACAATCAAATTTAAAATATTTTCTTCTTGTACTGCCCTGTTACCACCAACCTCCCCTGCCATAGCCCCAAGAAACCATTAATCCCAGTTACTGTTTAAAATATACAAAAAACAAAAAAGCAAATGAAAATGCCAAGAACAATAGCAAAATAAAATAAAGAAAAATGTCAATATTGTGTTTCCTTTGACTTTTTTATACAATAATGCACAAAATTCAAAATGTACAAATCATTTAAAACACTTTCCAGTATTAAAAAATTGTAGAAAATATGTAGTGGTTATGTGTCAGTTATTAGTTCACAGGCTTTTCCCCCCTTTCTTTTGACTACAGGAACAGTTATGATAAAAAATAACAGTGGTCAGTTGATGTTGGTATCTCCTCAGCAAGCTTTAACCAGAGCTGACACTACTAGTAACATAGCTTCAAGGCCAGCGGTAACAGCGAACACCCACGTGATCAAAACCTGTACAGCACCGGTAACATACCTTAATTTTTTCCCTATTTACCTTAGTGTTTCCTATAGTAATCTTTATATTTGTGTGTATGCGCTTGCTAAATAAAAATTATTCAGCGTTAATTCTACTCAACATTTTGAATTAGTTGGCTGTCTTTGAATGTTAATTTAATCAAGATTTTCATTTTTGTTGGATAATTGTTAAAATAATAAAAATTTAATCTACATACTCAGATTTTGTAAACTTCATAGGAAGAGCCAAAGAATTAGATGCATCTGTAAGTGGAAAGAAAATAGACATTTTGTTTGTGGTAAAACTATTAATATGGTAGCTTATAGTATTCATTTTTAACTGTATCTTAAAGGGATTAGCTTTAAAAAAGAAAAAAAAGCAAAGTCTATATTAAGTTAGCATTGAGCTTAATTAATATACATAGTGATCTTGTGGGTAACTATAGTTTATCTCAAGTACCAGAGTTTAAAAAAATATTTTTGTGTGCATTTTTCCTTTTTCATTGTCCTAGCTTGATTCCTGGTTCTCAACTAGTCATTTCCTCTAGTAATGTATTTGTCACTCATGGCTACTCTTTCCCTTTTCTAGTTTGCTTTACTATCTAACTATTGTGGATAAAGAAGATAGGAGAACAAATTTAGGTTTAGAATTATATATATGAGGCAGGGAATCCAAGTTAAAGATTTTAGCACTGAGTCTTGTGCAATGTATGGAGCCAGAACTTCCAGGTATACGAGGTGCTTATCGAGCCACCTTTCCCATATTGAAAATATCGCATGAAACTCAACCACCCAGTTTAGGCTCTTAGTATAGTGTGTATAAGACCTCTAACAGTACAATGTGGCAATTATGACACAGTCTGGCCTAACTAAACTGAGTATTGTAATATTAGTGATAGCACTGACTGATTTTAAGTCACCAATTCTGATAGCTGTATGTTGTCTTTTCCTTCAAGAGTCCTAGCTCACAATTAATCAAGAAAGTAGCTGTGGTACCTGCTAAAAAAATGGCCCCACTCGGGACTACTGTGGTATCCAGTGTTCCGAAGCCTTCCTCAGTACAAGTAAGTTGGGACTGGCTTGTGTTCACCTTATTCACTTGTCTTTTTATTTCCCCATGATTAAGCTATTTGCTGCCAGGTGTGTCAGTTAGTGGCTATGGGACATTGAGGAGAACATTGAATGCTATGTGGTAGCGCTGAACCAACTGGTGGCTGTTGAGGGATAGAAAATAAATGATATGGAATACATTTTTGGACCATCCGTTTTACTTGATTGCATTAGGTTTGTATAAATATATTTAATAGCTTGTGTTACAGGCAACAGAAACAGGCTAAGAAAAATTTGGTGCATGAAATATTTATTTATTAAGAATTTGTGCCTTCAAAGGAAAGGAGAAAAGAGTTTGAATTGGATACAGGCCCAAAAATAAGTATTGTGAACATGGTGCAGGATCAACCAGTGTTTCAGTCTGCTCTGTGTGTATAGGGTTGCTGTAAGTCAGAACTGACTTGATGGCACCTAACAACATCAGCATTACCCATTTGTGGAAACTCACTGAGAGGACTCCTAGCAGCTAGGAGAACACAGAGCTCCCCCTGTGGTGGTCAGCACAGCCTGCCCTGTGCATCTTGGAAACAAAAAGTTGCTAGAGTACTATATGTGTTTTGGATATTAAACTCTTCTCAGATATATGGGTCTCCAGAATTCTCCCATTCTGTGTAGTGTCTTCTCACTTGGTTGATAAAGTCCTATGTTGTATAAACCTTTTTAATCTTGATGAAGTCCAATTTACCTGTTTGGCTTTGTAGCTTGTACTTTTGATGTCCAATGGAAGAACACATTGTCAAAAACAAAGTTTTGAATTTTTACCCCTATTGGTCTTTTAAGAATGTAGTGGTTTTAGTGTTTATGTCTTGGTCATGGATCAATTTTGAGTCAGATTTCTTCTGTGGAGGCAAGGATCCCTGCAAGGCACAGTAGGTTAAGTGTTTGTCTGCTAACCAAAGATGAGGCAGTATGCCCCCATAAAGATTTATGGCTTTGAAAACCCTATGGAACAATCCTACCCTATAGTATAGGGTCTCTGTGACTCAGAATTGACTGTGGAAATTGGGGGAGTGAGTGTAATGGGTCCAATTTCTTCCTTTTGCATTTGGAGATACAGTTATCCCAGCACTATTTGTTGAAGAGACTGTTATTTTCCTCTTTGGCAGAGTTGGTATACTCTGTAGGAAAGCATTTTGCCATAGGTATCTGGGTTTATTTTTGGACTCTCAGTATTGTGCCTTTGGTTTATTTGTCTGTTCATCACATACTAGTTTCATGCTGTTTTGATGACTGTAACTTTGTAGTATGTTCTGAAATTGGGAAGTGAGTCCCACTTTTCAAGATTGTTTTGGCTATTTGGGGCAATTTACAAATCCATGTAATTTTTTTCCCCTTAACGGTCATTTTATTGGGGGCTCTTAAAACTCATTATAATCCCTACATCAATCGTATCAGGCATAGTTGCCATCATTCTTTTCTAGACATTTACTTTCTATTGAGCCCTTGGTATCAACTCTTTTTTCCCTCCCTTCTGCCCTACCCTCGTGACTCCTTGATAGATTATAAATTATTATTTTCATACCTCACACTGACTGCTGTCTCCCTTCCCCTATTGTTTCTGTTGTTCTTACCCCTGGAGGGGTGTGTATGGTTATGTGTCGATCATTGCGATTGGTTCCCCCTTCCTCCAACCTTTTCCCACTGCCTCCTACCCTTCTGGTATTGCTATTCACATTCATGTTCCTGGATTCTGTGTGTCGTGAGCTCTTATTATCTATATCTGTGTACGTGCTCTGGTGTAGTCTGAAGTGAGATGCAGAAATCCATGTAATTTGAGGATTGATTTTTTTCCCACTTTTTAAAAACAATCTGTTGGAATTTTAATAGGGTTTGTATTGAATCTATAAATCATTTTGGTAGTACTAATAAAGTTAAAATATTCAGTCTCCATCTGTGAGCATGGGATGACTCTTCATTCTTTTAAGTCTCCTTTAATTTATTTCAGCGGTATTTTGTAGTTTATAGTGTACAAATTATTTGCTTCTTTGGTTTTATTTATTCCAATGTATTTCATTGTTTTGGCCTCTTATAAATGGAATTGTTGCCTTTTTAGATTGTTCATTGTTATTGTATAGCTCCAGTAAGTGATTTGTTGGCTTTCGTAATGTTCTTGTAGAATCTTTTGGATTCAAGGAAACTTTTGTTACAACCCCTGGTAAAAATATATTCCCTGTGCATATATCTTGCAAATGAAGCATTTTAGGAGTGGGAAGCACAATGTCTTCCATCTTGAAGAGTATGGTAACTCAGGCTGATCCTGCTCCCCTTCTTTTCCCTTTACATAGCCGGTGGGGCAGTGAGTAAGAATTTAAACATTGGTTTCCTCCCTAGTAATAAAAGGAAACCCACAGCATGGAGTCGCTTCCAACTCATGGTGACTTTAAGACACAGAGGAACTTTCCAAACTGTAAATCTGTATGTAGCAGATGGCGTCATCTTCCACAGAGAGGCTGGTAGGATCAAACTATCACTCTTTTGGTTTGCAGTGGAGTGCTTAACCCACTGGTCTACCAGGACTCCTTCCTCTAAAATAATGACCACTTCTTGAGCATTTTATGTGGTTGTCACTTTTTAGCAATACTTTACATTCTTTTCGTTCTGTGACTAGTCTGAGGGCATACCATCTCCATCTTAACATATACATGAAAGTAGGCTGAAACGACTTGCAAAGAGTCATGGTCACTTCAGGTATAGAATTGCTTTGTGCAGTTTTCTTGGCCGTAATCTTTTTTCCCCTCCCATTATGTTTGAAATGAACTTTGTATGTCACTAAAGACTCCAAGTCTTATTTCTGGTTTACTTTTCATTTTTTTTCATTTACTCAGACTAATCTTTAGATCGGAGGGGTAAAGAAATCTGGAGGGTTGGCTGTCTGAAGCAGTTTGTTAGGCTGGGTGCCCCTGGGTGGATATGAACCACCAATTTTTTTTAAACCAGTGCATTACTACATCAAATCAAAAAGGAAAACACAAACTCATTGCCATAGGATCGGTTTTGACACACAGTGACCCTATAGGATAGGGTAGAACTGCACCTGTGGGGCTCCAAGATTGTAAATCTGTAAGGGAGCAGAAAGCCTCTTCTTTCTCCCTGTGGAGTGGCTGCTGGTTTCAAACAACTGATCTTTTGGTTAACAACCCAACACATAACCACTACTCCACAAGAGCTCCTTGCATTGCTGTACAGGATGTGGAAAAATATTGTCACTCAAAGAATTTATAATTAGTATTTTTTTAAAAATCATTTTATTGGGGGCTTATATAGTTCTTATTACAATCCATACATATATCCATTGTGTCAAGCACATTTGTACATTTGTTGCCATCTTCATTTTCAAAACATTTTCTACTTGAGCCCTTGGTAGCAGCTCATTTTTTCCCCTTTCCCACCCACCTACCCTCCCTCCCAGACCCTTGATAATTTATAAATTGTTGTTTTCATGTCTTACACTGACCAATGTCTCCCTTCACCCACTTTTCTGTTGTCTGTCCCACAGGGAGGGGGTTATATGTAGATCATTGTGACTGGTTCCCCTTTATCCCTGTTACCCTCCTGGTATCGCTACTTTCAATATTGGTCCTAAGGGGTTTATCTGTCCTGGATTCCCTGTGTTTCCAGCTCTTATCTGTACCCGTGTATATACTCTGGTCTAGCCAGATTTGTAAGGTAGAATTGGGATCATGATAGTGGGGTTGGGGGTGGGATTATAATAGAAAACCTAAACTGAGTTTTCAGAGACACACAATGTGATTCTGAAATATAGTTTTATCTCCTATGATTGTATATAATTTATTTCACTAGCTCCTTATAACTGATTATCTTTTAAAAAAATCATTTTATTAGGGGCTCATACAACTCATCACAATCCATACATACATCAATTGTGTAAAGCACATTTGTACATTCATTGCCCTCATCATTCTCAAAACATTTGCTCTCCACCTAAACGCCTGGCATCAGCTCCCCAATTTTTCCCCTCCCTCCCCGCTCCCCCCTCCTTCATGAACCCTTGATAATTTATAAATTATTTGGTCATATCTTGCCCTGTCCAACGTCTCCCTTCACCCACTTTTCTGTTGTCCGTCCCCCAGGGAGGAGGTCACATGTAGATCCTTGTAATCGGTTCCCCCTTTCCAACCCACCCCCCCTCTGCCCTCCCAGCATCGCCACTCACACCACTGGTCCTGAAGGAATAATTCGCCCTGGAGTCCCTGTGTTTCCAGTTCCTATATGTACCAGTGTACATCTTCTGGTCTAGCCAGACTTGCAAGGTAGAGTTTGGATCATGATATTGGAGGAAGCATTTAGGAACTAGAGGAAAGTTGTATGTTTCATCGTTGATACATTGCACCCTGAGTGGCTCCTCTCCTCCGGGAGAACTTTCTGTAAGGGGATGTGCAGTGGCCTACAAATCGGCTTTGGGTCTCCTCCCTGCACTCCCCCCCTCATTCACTATGGTAAGATTTTTTGTTCTGATGATGCCTTATACCTGATCCCTTCGACACCTTGTGATCGCACAGGCTGGTGTGCTTCTTCTATGTGGGCTTTGTTGCTTCTGCCTTATAACTCATTTTCACAGTGATTTATTTAATGCATTTTCCATCCCCTTTTTTCCTCCGGTCCCTAAAACATAACATGACTAGTGAAAGTATAGTTGTGAAACAAACACAGAAGTATAATTTATCATTGGCGAGTCTCTCTGTAGTTTGTGACAGAGTTACATTTCTGACGGTGCAAGGGGATTGAACAGATAAGAGTAGACCAGGATTATGTACCTCTGCTGCTTCAGAAGTGAAATTGGCTTAAGTATAGAAGGATCATGTCTCAGACAAGGTAAATGAGTTGCAAATGCCAAGTTTTATTGTCCTGGAAAGTAGAAATGTCCCATGAATGCGCCATTACAGAAAGTAGACATTTGTGTGAACTTACATTTCTTTGGGTCTTATTTGGCCTAATAAAGGAGAGAGACAGCAGTTTCCTATGAAATTTTTCCTTCCGTTTCAAAAGTGGTCATACTCACTAGCTGAAATTCCAGATTCTCACTCTCATTGCCATTGAGCAGATGTCTTCCAACTCAGAGTGACCCCATAGGACAAAATGGAACTCCCTGTGTGTTTGTGAGACTGTCACTCTTTATAGGAGTGGAGAGTCCCATCTTTCTCCTGAGGGGAGGCTGGTGGTTTCTTGTCTCCTGTCTTTACTATTTGCCATTTTAAAAATTAGATTACTGCTTTATATCAATGGGACTTTCTAAATGACTGCTTGCCTCTTTATATGAAATTTTTTATCCTGCAGGTGGTGCTGGAATCACGCTTCATTTTAAAAGAGGGTGGGAGAAATAAAACCCAAAATTCTTTTCACTGTGAAAAAAGCACAGTATCACTCAGGCCATTTTCTTTTTTTTTCTTTCTTAAGATTATTAACCCAATCAATTTTAGACACCCCCCCCCCATGAATCACTTTAAAAATGAATTGTGTAATCACGATCAGTTCTAGTGCTCCCAAAGGATTAGGAAAACGGCCCAGTAATAATCTCTGGGGAGCAGAGGATAGAAGTAGGAGGGAGGTTTAATTTTCAACCTAGCTTTTGAGGCTTTGTCTATATTTAGTAAAATTATGTTAGTTGTAATTTAAAATGTTGCCCTTGTCTTTCAACACTTAGTATTTCATCATAGGTTCCCTGCTGTTCTTACAGTTGAGGGCAGGTTTAGCTGGTGTTGACCATACTCTACCAATAATCAGTGGCCCAGCTGGTCAGGCTGTAGGAGGTATGAATGCTGCTAACTGGGAAATGTACATTCAAATTCACATGTCTTGGCTATTATGCAGAAGGGAAATCTTTGAAGGACTAATAACCTGACTTTTCTTTTTATGTACTGTGGAACATGCACATTTAAATGAAAATGATGAGACAAGAATGAGTTTACTATTTGAACTACAAATATACTTTTTCTCCTTCCAAGTCTTGTCTAGTGCACTCTCTCCTCTCCCACATAAACTGTTTGCTGCCCCAACCCCCCCATTCAAATGAAAATGATGAGACAAGAATGAGTTTTCTATTTGAACTACAAATATTATACTTTTTCTCCTTCCAAGTCTTGTCTAGTGCACTCTCTCCCCTCCCACATAAATTGTTTGCTCCCCCAACCCCTGACCCTTACCTCTTCTGTAAATCCTCGCATCAGTTATTACCTCTCTGCACCTACCCCTGTGCTTCACAGACTGGAAGATCCACTGGAAACAATAAAAACAATAAGGGGCTAAGGATAAGATAATAATAATATAAAAATACAAATAATGAGTAAGATAGAAAAACCACTATCAGTACTTAAAAGGCCAAGGAAGAGATTTTTGCCATGGAACAAGCAAGAAATACTTGCACATAGGTTATATTCTGTATGCTTACTCTGATAGTGTACATAAAAGCAGCTGATCTGAAAAGAAGATAATAAATCTATCTCTGCATTTATATGAATGAAAAAAAACTGGTAGAGGGTAGAAAATTCTTTATTTCATATAAAGACTTGCCATTTCAAATCCATTTTAGAGATAGTATTTTTTGAGGATGGCACTTTCCCCTCATATACAACTTTGGTCTGATATGTACCATTACTTTCCTTGATTTTTACAGAAACAAATCAGAAGGCTAAAGGTTTCACTAGCATGCCTGAAATATAGTAGAATGAATGAAGCCCAGATCTGTTGGACTCCAAACTTTTATTCATTTAGTATTTTTTGTTTTTTATATTTTAAAAAATCATTTTATTGGGGTTTTGTACAACTCTTATCACAATCCATACATCTATCCATTGTTTTTGTACACTTGTTGCCATCATCATTCTTAAAACATTTGCTTTCTACTTGAGCCCTTGGTATCAGCTCTTCCTTTTTTCCCCTCTCCCTCCCCCACCCTCCTTCCCTCATGAACCCTTGATAATTTATAAATTATTATTATTTTTTCATGTATTACACTGACTGATGTCTCCGTTCACCCACTTTTGTGTTGTCTGTTGCCCAGGGAGATGGTTATATGTAGATCATTGTGATTGGTTCCCACCTTCTCCCCCCACCTTCTCCATACCCTCCTGGTATTGCTACTCTCATTGGTGCTGAGGGGTTTATCTGTCCTGTATTCCTTGTGTTTCCAGCTCTTAACTGAACCCGTATACATGCTCTGGTCGAGCTGGATTTGCAAGGTAGAATTGGGATCATGATAGTGGGGATGGGGAGGGGGAGGGGAAGTAGAACCATTAAAGAACTAGAGGAAAGTTGTATGTTTCATCATGCTATACTGCACCCTGACTGGCTTGTCTCCTCCCCAGACCCTTCTGTAAGGGGGTGTCCAGTGGCCTACAAATGGGCTTTGGGTCTCTACTCCACACTCCCCCTCATTCACAATGATATGATTTTTTTGTTCTGATGATGCCTGATAACTGATCCCTTCAACACCTCAAGATCACACAGGCTGGTGTGCTTATTCCATGTGGGCTTTGTTGCTTCTGAGCTAGATGGTTGCTTGTTTATCTTCAAGCCTTTAAGACCCTAGATGCTATATCTTTAGATAGCTGGGCACCATCAGCTTTCTTCACCACATTTGCTTATGCACCCATTTGTCTTCAGCGATAGTATTGGGAAGGTGAACACACAATGATATTATTTTTTGTTCTTTGATGCCTGATACCTGATCCCTTCAGTACCTCGTGATCATACAGGCTGATGTGCTTCTTCCATGTGGGCTTTGTAGCTTCTGAGTTAGATGGCCGCTTGTTTATTCAAGCCTTTAAGACTCCAGACACTATATCTTGATAGCTGGGCACCATCAGCTTTCTTCACCACATTGCTTTTGCACCTGCTTTGTCTTCAGCAATCATGTTGGGCAGGTGAGCATCGTGGAATGCCAGTTTAATAGAACAAAGCATTCTTGCATTGAGGGAGTACTTGAGTAGAGGCCCAATGTCCATCTGCTACCTTAATTCTAAACCTATAAATATATTCACATAGATCTATTTCCCCATCATCATATTAAATATATTTACATATGTACATGCCTGTATTTAGACCTCTATAAATGCCCTTTGCCTCCTAGTTCTTTCCTCTTTTGCCTTTTACTTTCCTCTTATTCCACTATGATGCTCAGCCTTCTTTTGGGTTTCAGTAATTCCTCTCTGTTATATTACCTTTGTCCAAGCCCTGCCATGCCTCTTATATCCTTATCGCCATGAATTTTGGATCAATTGTTTTTCCCTTGTCCCTGGCTTTAACACCACTTCCTTTCCCCCACCTCTCCCTTTCCAATGTCCCCCCTGAACTGTTGCTCCCATTGTTTTCTCCTCCAGCTTGTTTATCCGCCTGTCTTATCTATATAGACCTGCAGAGATAACAATATGCACAAAAAACAAGACAGAGCAAAACTAAGCAACAAAACAAAAACAATAACTAAAACCAATGACCAAAAAAGAGAGAAAAGCCTGTAAATAGTTCAAGGTCTGTTTGTTGGCCTTTAGGAGTGTTTTTCGGTGGAGTCTGATGGGGTGCCAAACCCTGGCCCCAAAGTCTATTTTTGGTAATCCCTGGGTACTTTGTTGCTCTGTTCCCTTTGCTGTTCTCTTGCATGCCTTTAGTGTTTCACTTCAGTGTGGTAGGGTCAGATCAGGCACAATTCCTGCACTGTGTCTCCAGTTTTGTCCCCAGTAGCACTATGGGTCAGTGAGCGACGTTGAGTCTCATAGTGGGGGCCAGCCCTATGGTCCTCTCTGTGCATTGGCTGCTCTGAGCAGGAATATCATACTCAGCGCTTGGTGGGCCGGGATGTGTTCCATTCTCTCTTCCTCCCCCTTCGTTTGCTCCTGTGTCCTCTGATCCAGACACATCCCTCTCCCTGAGCTGTAGCTTCAGTGCTTTCTTCTGAAGTGAATTCTTCTGTGGGGAAGGGAGATTGTCCACGTAGTTGGGATTGGGGCCAGCCCCTCAGACCACTCTACTGGTTCCCTGTTTCATGCCAGTATGTTGTATACATGTTCTGAAGCACTGGGTTGACCCTAAACTTTTATAGCTGTCCCAGTGACTTGGCATAGGAGAGCCTGATGTAAAAGCAAAAATATCAAGATTCTGCTGCAGTTTGTTAATGGTGAAATGACACACCTGCTAAGGTTTCACAGTGATATGATCTGAATATATACTCCATTTCATTTCAGTCTGTGCCTGTGACAACCAGTGTTGTTACCATTACTCCTGTGAAACCACTGACTACTGTAACTACACTGAAGCCTTCAAGTTTTGGGGTGTCACCCACCCCCTCCATTGAGTCCAGCGTCAAAATGGAGAACTCAGCAGTTGCTCAGACCAGTCTTTCCCCGGTAAGCTCTTACATCTACTACATGCACTTAAATAACTATACTTTCTTTTCATTTCTTCTACAGTTTTATGAAAAGTAGTACAATTTCTTATAAGTGTTCTCAAATTTTTTTTCTGGATAACATTTTGATCGACTTCCTTTATGCTTATATCTCCATATTTAGACGATGCTTGAAAATGTGAATAAATGCAAGAACTTCCTTGCGATGTTAATAAAATTAGCATGTAGTGGATCACAGTCCCCAGATATGGGAAAGAATGTGAAGAAATTGGTGGAACAACTTTTGGTAAGTTAATTCTATAAAATCTTGCATGCTTTCTTTCTCTATGCCATTGAGTCAGTGCTAACTCATAGTGACATTATAGTATATCGTAGAACTGGCCCTGTGGGTTTCTGAGACTATAACTGGTCACGGGAGTTCGAAAGCCCCATCTCTCTCCCAAAAGACCCATAAAAGCCTTCTAAAGAACCATGAAACAATTTTTAAATGGGGAATGTATATGTTTTAATTGACTTTTTTTTTAGTTTTTGCTTCTTGAAAGCTCTATAATGAATATAAATCTCAAACAAGTAAATGTGTTATATGTTACTTTCTGTAGGTCAGTCCTGATTCTCTTAATATGTAAAAGCTTTTTGAAGATTGACTATGTGGTCACATGTGAAATGAAAAAAATATTAACCTAAAAATAATAAACTAATTGCATATTAATAGATACAGGACATTTATGAGAGGTAATTATAGTTTACAAAGCAAAAAGGTATTTAGTGAGAAGAATGAAATTGTTTTACATTTTGCAAAATTAATGTAGCTTAATAGAAGGCAACCAGATTCTCAAATCTGCTTTTGTATTTAATCTGTTTTCTGATACACTGTTTTGGTCACAGTATTTGGAGAAAGTTTAGCTTATACAGTTAGATAAGTTCGTATTTTAAAAGCTTTTCTACAGGTCAGTGCATTTTCTTTACCATCCATTCATTTTGCACATTGAGTTGTTGTTTTTTAACCTGTGAGTAGTTTTGCAGCATCATGCATTGATCATTTAAAAAATAATGGCTTATTGAGTTATGCAGATCTGAATGTTGACAGAATTGATACTTAAGATAAAAAAATTGCTGGTTAATTTCACCACCAATTATCAGAAAATATAGTTAGTAGATATGTATATACCGTATATACTCGAGTATAAGCTGACCTAAATAGCAGCTGAGGCTCCTAATTTTACCACAAACACTGCATTAAAAATGTGCTGAAAAACTCGGCTTAAACTCGAGTATATATGGTATATATACATTTTTTGAAATTTTGTTTTGACTTGAAAGAGCTAATATTTTAATCATTGCCAACAAATTCTATCAATTGTCTTTCTTACAGGGACAGGCTTGCTTTGTTTTTGAGAAAATGTCCACCCATTAGTCCAACATGAACATGCATAGTTTAATTGCCAGCCTTTCTAGTAAGGATGTAATCTAGGAAAAAGTCCCTAGTGCAGCTAACAACTCAACCACAGAATACTTTTTCTTGAGCATCTTCGGTCTGCAGCAGAAATGTGGATTCAGTTTTTGTCACAAAATCTTAAAAAAGACAGCGGCTAAGAATTGAGATTTCAGTGAAGCTGACAGTTTTATTTGGAAGGTGGTGTGGGGCTACAAGAAGTGCATATAGATGTGGTACGACGATAGTTATTATAGTTTGTTACCATTGCCTTTGCACATCAGTGCAAATGCCAGCACAGTAAAAAAGGCAAAAAACACCCTAATAATACATCACAAATTCCTGTAGGACTTAGAGCATTAAGTTATATGGTATGTCTCAGTTCTAAGGTATGTCTGTCACTGTGGTCGTGTGTGGGGTTAAGGGTAAGAGGGAACCCCACAAAACATCACAGGTTTGGTAGGTGCAATTGTACAGCAATAATAAGTAGAGATTATAATAAAGTCATAGAGAGCATGAGAGTTAAAGGATAGAGTCAAGTAATGGAGTCAGATGCAATTCATGATAGCATATCTCACCTCAGCCCGGCTTGATGGTCCTCGTGGGAGGGGGCTTAGCCGTCAGAGAAGAAGCCGCTGCTTCGTCCTCCTTAGTCACCTTCTCCAGCCACCCTCCCGAGAACCAGGGAGCCTCCTTATTTATTGCTAACCACGCATCATAGAGTCATACATCACAGAAAGGGGCAATACAATTCATTCTAGAACAAGTTTGATCACTCTAATGTCTCACATAATAAAACAGACAATTACTATTCTGGGAGGCATGCAAGTTCCCTGATAGTGGACAATAACCTGAGTCACCAGGAGGGGTATTAACATAGGCAATACAAGCAATAGGAGGGGGATGACCTAAGGGTGAATGTGCAATAGTAAGAGGAGGGAATAGGGGGACATGTGTGGCAAGATAGTAGCCTAAGTTTAGTCATCTTAGAGTGGTCCCAGGCTTGCCTATGGGCACTGCTTCGAGGGAACAATAACAGAAAGGAATGGGCTTTATTTAGGGTGAGTCAGGCTAATAGTCTAGCCACTATAGATGGCTGATGTTAAGGAGAATAACCTCTGACTTACTTTCGCTGCCTAAAGAACAGTCACGCTTAAGCAGCTAAGTCTGGTATATATTTTGGGGAGACAACTTAAGAGAAATCCTTCTGTTCCCCACAGTCGTGCAATAGTATTATTGAATAATTTTCTTGGCTTGGTTCTTGTAACCTAAAAATAATATAAAAAAGCAAAAAGAGAACATTCAAGATCCCTAAACCAAATAACTTCTTATTCCTTACCCAAAGAAATTTGAATTTCTGTGTGTCTTTACTTCCTAATTATTCATTAACAGACTGTAATAATGTAGCATTATTCAATTATTCTGCCCTTCTATCACATTGCTTCTTGGGATTTGAAAATCTTTCTTTTTTTGTCTTCTCAATGAACATTGTTTATATTTACGTATTTCATAGGGGACACGAAAAAAATTGTCCCTCCTTTAATGATAAATTTTACCAATTGTATCTTGAACAGCAAAACATGTGTAATCATGAATTATATACATTGCCTCTCAAAATATCTGTAGACCTGAAAATATGTCTTTTTCTCTCATTCTTTAGGATGCAAAAATTGATGCAGAAGAATTTACTAGGAGATTGTATGTTGAACTCAAGTCTTCACCTCAACCTCATCTAGTTCCTTTTCTTAAGGTAGACATATGAGTTACCTTGAAAAAATTGTGTGGGTTAGATTAAGTTAAAATAATTTAGAATCTGAGTAATCTAACACTACTTTACTGTGAAGATATCAGCAGTGTAGGAGAAGCCTCTCAGTCATAAACTGTAGAGAACATCCACAATCCATATTTGCTGGGTTCTGCTGGGAAACTGATGTAACGTCATTTGTGAACTTAATACTGTTTAACACTTGTAGAGGAATATACTCAAGGATCTTGGACATTCCTTTGAAAAGGGAGCTTTCTGGTTTCGTCATAATGACTCATATTCTTTTAGAAATAATAAACCACATAGTAATTTTGTGGGAAGGCTACTAACTGTCATTGTCAGTAGGATCTCAGATTTATTGAACCAAATACAATTTTGATAGAGAAAATGCTTTCGCTAATGAGATTGTTTTGGCATACCAAACAAAAACAAAAACAAAAACTTCCTTTCGGATACTCAGACACTGTAAAGGAATCAATTTGAAATTTTACTAAAGTCATTAAAATTTTGAGTCTGTTAGTAAACCAAAGACTCATCCCAGAAAGTTTGAGACATTTGAATGAGAAGTTGCTCTTGGAAATCCTGGGGTTAATTGTATAACGGATGTAGACCAGGCTTCATCTTCTTCATAAAAGAGAGTGACCAGGTTGCTTACCAAAACCAAACCCGCTACCATCGACTTGATTCTGACTCATGGGGTTTCTAAGGCAAGAGGTAATGCAGATACATATTTATAGTGTTGTCTCTTTTAAGTCTCATGAGTTAAGCCATTTCTTTCCAATTTTTAAATTCATAATCCTCTTCCCTTAGGTTTCTAGTTTAAATGAAAGCAAATTACTTCATTTGTGTATTTCCAAAGCAGTTTTTCCTACCATTTTGAAATTTTAGAAAAAGATGATGAGATATTCCCTATTTTTTCTTCTAAAAACTTCTTCAATTAAGAATTAATTATTTTAATCTTTTATAAAGTAGAGGAAGTGAAAAACAGATCTCATTTGCTAATTAAGTACTGTTTTTTTTGTGTGTGATTACCTTCATTGCTCTTAGTGTGCAGTCTGACAGAAGTGCTAAAACAAGAGTATCTTCCCAATAGCTCTTGAATTCCCCCAAAATAGTATCTACCTAACTTCTGAAACTTTTTTAGGTCTTACTCAAAAATAAGACCAATGCAAGCCCCATTGGTGACATGGCAGAATCTAGTATCTTAACTCTTTTAAAGGAGGAGGCCTTTTGACTGCTAACCAGCTTCCTCCAGGAGAAAGACAGGCTCTTGTAAAGATGTGTAGCCTTGGAAACCCTACAGAGAGTTGCTATGAGTTATGCTTGACTCAACCACAGTGGCTTTGGTTATTACTCTTTTAGACTAGAATGGTAGGAATTGGCTAAAGAACCAGTCAGAAAATATTCTAGCTTTATTAAATAAATTGCTTTTACTTTAACGTTTGCCTTGTTTCTGTTAGATTTATATTAAAGACTTTATATTCAAAGTATGTAAGTTATTCAACATAAAGTCTTGTGGTACAACTTATAGACTGAAGCTAATAATCTATTACGGGGTTTAGATTAATAGAAGCAAGAATAATGCAGTGTTTGTTTCCTGAACTGATATCGAGGCATATAAAATATAATAGTAATACATGAATTTCTATTTAAAAAACGGAATGCTTTGGGGCTAATGTGCTTTTAGACTTGTATGCTTGTGGTGGTGGACAGCCTATAAATAAGTAATACTGAGTTTCCTTAACAGAATCACTGGATTTTTAAAATTTACTTTGTTATACAGAGATGAAGTACAAATTGTGTTTTAGTAGGAGCACATTTGTTTAGTTAACTGTGTTTATGTGTTGTGCTACCCCCCCCACCCCCGTTTCTAGAAAAGTGTGGCTGCCCTGCGACAACTGATGCCAAACTCTCAGAGCTTCATTCAGCAGTGTGTTCAGCAGACTCCTAGTGAAGTAGTCGTTGCTACCTGTGCTACCACAGTAACTACTCCTGTGGTGACAACAGCAGCCTCCTCAGCCCCGTCAGAGAAGACTGTTACTATTTCTGGAGTAACTGCCCCCAGCACTGTGTCAGTGCACACTCAGAATCCACTTGCTGGCCCCGGTGGAGCAGCTGCTGGAGTTGTCGCGCTTTGCTCGGTGGGCCCTGCTGCTGTACCTGGAGGAACAACAGCTGGAACTGTCTTCCTTCAGACTTCAAAACCACTTGTGACTTCGTTACCAACTACAGGGACAACAGTCTCACTGCAACCTGGAAAGCCAGCTGTGTCTGGAGCAGCAGTATCGCTGGCCCTTCCAACAGTAAATTTTGGAGATGTTTCCGCTGCAACTATCCGTCTTCCTTCTGTGAAACCTGTTGTTACTCTTCCCGGGGCCACGTTTAACAAGCCTGTCCAAATCAGATTTGCCCAGCCGAGCTCCAGCCTCTCACAGCTGCCTGCTGCTCCACAGGCAGTTAAAGTCAAACAACTAGTGAGTTACAGTTCATTTCTTAATTCAGTTCTTTCTTTTGAAAATGTTAAATCTTTAGAAAACCACCAAAGAATAATAAAGTGAACCCTCCTGCCTTTTAAGGGACCTCTGGTGGTGTAGAAGTTATGAGTTGGGCCACTAACCTCAAGATCCAGAGTTTGAAACCACAAGCCACTCCGTGGGAGAAAGACAGGGCTTTCTACTGCCGTAAAGCGTTGTAGCCATAGCAACACAGGGCAGGTCTACCGTGTGCTAAAGGGCTGGTTACTATGAGTGGACATCGTCTCAAAGGTAGAAAGGTTTTAAAAATAATGTATATAGTCGCGTATAAGCTGAGTTTTTTCAGCACATTTTAAATGCAGTTTTTTTTGGTAAAATTAGGTGCCTCGCCTGATATGCAGGTTGGCTTATACTTGAGTATATACGGGTATATACACTTACCTAGTTTGGCCAGTTGTTAGTATTTTATACATTTACTGTCACTCTGTCTCTCTCTTTCACATATACACACACACATTATGTTTTGTTGAACCACTTAGAGTTGCTTGCAGAGACCCTAACAGTTCACACCAAAATACTGTGTGTCTCCTAAGGAAAAGGATATATACGAGGAGGGTACCCCAAATCGGCCAAAAGCTCCCCTGGGCGGAGCTTACATAGTATCCCTGCGATGGCGTTGCCTTGGAAGGTTCTCTCTGGTCACAGTGAAGAAAGTAGTTTCACTCGAACCTCATTTTTTGTGATGGCCAACTTAAGAGAACAACATGGGCGGTGAAATTTTGTTTCCTGCTCAGGAAAAGTGCTGTAGAAACAGTTGTGATGTTGAACACAGCTTACAAGGGCAGTGCTATGGGAAACACTCAAGTGTACAAGTGATCTCCTTGTTTCAAAAAAGGTGAAATGTCGATTGATGACAAACCTCGTTCTGGATGTCCGGCAACTTCCCAAACAGATGAAAATGTCAACTAACAGTGCACTTGGAGTTTGTTCCACCAGGTCAGACTGCTAATCAAGCTATCTATTTAGGGGTTCTGAAAAGATAGTTAACAGTGTGTGACTAAAAAGGCCGGGGACTGGTTGTGCCACCATGATAATGATCTGCTCATGCAGTCTTCTCAGTGAGCCAGTGTTTAGTAAAAAGCAGCATGCGCTCTTGCCCCATGCACCCGACTCACCTGACCTTGTTCTCTGTGAATTAATATTTGCATAGCGCCATTGCCTTTTATATTTTATATACCCAACCTTCAAAGTTGTTACCCAGTTGTCCCTGTAATACCCTTTGTAGCTACTTTCTTTCTGACTTTTTAATTTTAAAAATGCTGATTATATTTAGTTGTCATTTCTTTTTAGATTCTTTGACTTTTCAACAGTTCCCTATCCTGTTGTTCATTATATTGCAATTTTTCAAGTATCCAGCTAGTTATTTTACAAAATGTCCCATGATTTGGTTTTATCTGATTTTTCCCCTTCATGGTTAGATTTGCTTTACATTTGTGTGACAATACTTCTATATCAGTAATAGTCACAAGTCTTTAAAAATAAAACAAAGTGATGGGGGGAGGAAGGAGACTGAGAAGAGTGGATAAATAAGAGAGTTTATATATTTTTTCCTAAGGCTTGTGGTTGAGACATTCTTAGATGAAAAAAGATGATTTTAACATTTTTTTTTGTTTTTTCTAGAAAATGCTATTCATTAGATAGAATTAGCAGCTTGCTACTACACTGTTCAGCACAGTTCCTTATGTTGCTCATTTCCTGAGATTTCACTCCACAGCTGCTCCGCTCAGGGGGCTCTTTCCTGCCGCTTCAGGGCCGGGCGCTCGGGAACCGGTTTCTGATTTTAACATTTTATTGGTTAGTTAGTACTCTTAGGGTTTAGAAGAGCGGTTCTCACCCTGTGGATGCGACCCCTTTGGGGTCGAACGACCTTTCACATGGGTTGCCTGATTCATAACAGTAGCAAAATTACAGTTATGAAGTAGCAATGAACATAGTTTTATGGTTGGGGGAGGGGGTCACCACAACATGAGGAACCTGTATTAAAGGGTCATGGCATTAGGAAGGTTGAGAACCAGTGGTTTAGAATTATCCTACTCTTTAAAGGACACATTTCTTTAGCAATGCTATTAACCTATGGGAGACACATTGTACATAACACATGAACTAAAAATTAACATTTTTTCCTAGTAAAATTCTTTTATGTCTTGTGCCATAACGCAGTTCTTTTGATTTTGGGTGACGGCCCTTTTCCTCCTTTGTACATCTTAGTGTTAAAGGCTGTATTTTGAATCTTTTTGTTACATAGCAGATTTTGCTTCTTGGAATAGTCAAAGTCCCTGCATTGTTTGTGAGGTCAAGATAAGAAGTTACAAACTTTTAATGGTTGTCTTCAGAAGCAGGAGAGAGCTTTGAAAATTGAATGAAAAGCCCAATCAGGTGACAAGAATTAGACAGGAGTCAAGCTCTTGGGTAGGTATGACGGGATAGCCATTATCTGGCTACAAATCTGATGGCAGAGTCTTTATGAGTTGGGCTGCTAACCGGTTGCAAGGTCAGCAGTTTGAAACCACCAGCCGCTCCGCAGGAGAAAGACAGGGCTTTCTACTCCCACCATGAGTTACAGTCTCAGAAGCCCACACGGGCAGTTCTGCTCTGTCATAGAGGGCGCTCTGAATCGAATCGACTGGATGACAGTGAGCAGTCTTTTCCGTATTTCCTACTCCAGGTCTGATTTTCAAATGGATAAAGGGATTTGGTTTGGAGAGTTCCTCTTGGGTGCCTGGATTTAATTTCGGTGATGAAGCATTTTTAGAAACAGTGATCCTTAAACATTGGTTTTAGTGACCAGGTTTGGGAACCACTGGAGTAAAGTAATTTCCCCAAGGATGAGCCTTTCTTTTGATAGCCCTGAGCAGAATTAGAACCCTCCTTTTATGTCGTAGCTGATTCTTGAATCAGTGCTAATCTTTTTTGAACATCACTAATGTGTAGTCTCCTCCAGTGAAGTGACATTTTATTGTTAACGTAAGAGTTTCAAAGGTTCTCCATGTCTGCGCCGTGGATTTTCAGGTAATTACATGATGAAGCAGGGACAGGGGAAATCCACAGTTGTAAGTGACTTTATCCATTGGCAGTTAGCACCTAAGCTCTGAGACTGGCAGGCAGTATATCAGTTTCCTCTCGGTTTTATGTCCTGGTAAGAACTTTTCTTTTCTGGTGTGTCTGAGACAACAGTGGCAAAAAACTATCTGGTCTAATACTGCCTTGACCAAGTCTACATGTTTTAGATTTGAATGCTTAGACATAAGAATAATCTCAAAACCCAAAGAAACCACTGCCATCTAGTCAGTTTGACCCTATAGAGGGTTTCTGAGAGTTTGTAACTATTTAGGAAAGCAGACAGCCTCAGGTTTCCCCCAAGGAGCAGTTAAAGGTTTCATTTAGTCCTGGCAATACTGTGCTTTGTTAAGTTTGGCCCTCAAATGCTTAGAATACAGAAATACCATCCTAATTAGTGGTTCTGTATATTTCATTAAAAAATTCCTTCTTGTAAATGGTTAATGTTGGCTGTCTTATCAGTTCTGGCATAGTAGCTTGTTACATTGTATTATGTACTTGAATGAAAGGTTGGGCATAACATTTTTTTGAAGTAGGAGAAATCTTCAGGAAATATAAACATACTTTATATGAAATACTGAAAGGAAAACCTTGAGTCTGCTAATTGTCTCTAACTTCCGTCAGCACAGCATAAAAAAGAATTTCTTCTAGGTAATGACCTCAGCTTTTAGCATCCTTGTGGCTAAGTATGTCTTTTAGTGAAATTGAAATAAAAATTGAAACCAGGGAACAAAACCATCATTCATTCTATTGGCTCAAGTAATTGTCCCTCCACTCCTCATTAGACTGGCTGCCTTTCATGTAATCAATCTGTTCATCTCTTTTTTCCCTTTATCTTAAGAATGAGATGGAGCACCGTTGGCAGTTCAAAACCACCAGCAACTCCATGGGAGAAAGACTGGACTTTCTACTCCCATTTGTGGTAAACAGTCTTGGAAACCCAGTGGGGGTCTCTGTGAATCAGCATTGAGTGAGTGAGGAGAGAGGATTCGGTTCATTTTATTTTCACTTCTATGAATAGAAGTACAGTAATGAAAATTTGGAAGAGAAAGAGGTTGAACCCCATGTAAGTCCTACCCTTTGATTAACACATGTAGAAACTTCTTCTTGGGTTATAATTTCATCAGTGATTATCAAAGGATAGTCAACATAGACTTTGATTAACTCTAGTTCATTTATAGTTACTGGAGGGACTTTGTAGGGTGGTGCATTTTAATTTGGTAAGATTACCATATATTCTCGAGTATCAGCCAAGTTTTTCAGCACATTTTAAATGCCGTTTTTGCGGTAAAATTAGGTGCCTTGGCTAATATTTGGGTTGGCTTATACTCGAGTATATATGGTATTTTAAAATATGGGAAAATAAAAACTATTTAGAGTCAGTATTTACAGAATACATATCTTATTTTAGCATTACTATTGAAAATGTTTTTATTATAAAAAGTTTCAAAAACTTGTTTGTAGTAACACCCATGTACTAATTATCAGGATTTTATTCTTTAAAACTCCTGCTCTTGTTTCATCCATATATTTATGTAGCTGTTCATCAAAATTTTTTGATACATTTCAAACACTTATACATAAATAAACATGAATATCTTTAGGTATTTGTTTCTGTGTAAAATTTAGATACAATAATATGCATAGATCTTAAGTGTACCATTGGATAAGAGTTAATAGTCATGATACATCCTTGTGTACCTTAAACTCTCTGTGAAGAAACACCACCTTACCATCATTCCAGAAAGTTCCCTCATGCTCTTTGCCAGCTAATCCCTACCCTCTAGTAGCGGAGGCAATAGCTGCTGATATATTTCTCCTATATGTCAGTTTTCTGTATCTCAGGTCTGAGATGGAATCACACAGTGAGCACATTTAAAATTTTTGGATACTAAGACAAATTTAAAAGTGTTGAGAAGCTTCTCTAAAAGAACTGTGTGTTCTGAGTTTTAATCTAGATTTAGGAGTGACAAATTTAGGAGGTTTAATCTAGATTTAGGAGTTTCATTTTTCTGTGGTAAAATTTCACTAGAGCCTTGCATTAAGAGTTTGAGGCTGGATATGGGTTTAGTTAGAAATGCTGGAGTTTAGTTGTGTATACCTTTGGCCTAGCAGAGGGGGAGTAGTGATACTCAAACTGTATCCTGCAGGTCCTGAGAAACACATGATGATGTAAATCTATTTCCTGACTTTTTAACTATAATTTTCCCCTTAGTTTGGGTTCCTTCCTTTCTCTGCAATTAACCATGTATTGAATATAGTATGTAAACTAGAGGTGATATTACCCCCCTGATTTCAGTAATAGTATGTGCATATGCTACTTGAGGTTTTTAGAGTTTAGTATTCAATTATCTTGGAAGAGGTACAGCCAGAATGCTCCTTAAAAGTGAGGATGGGCAACACCTTGTCTCACATACTTTGGACATATTACCAGTTGAGATGAGTCCATGGAAAAGGATACCGTGCGTGGTAGAGACAGGAAATGGATTGACACAGTGGCTGCAACACTGGGCCCAAATACAGTACAACAATGGTTGTGAGGATAGCCCAGGACCAGGCAGTGTTTCAGTCTGTTTTGCAGCAGGTTGCTGTGTGACAGAAACAGCTTGTTCTGCAGCATTTCATTGTTGTGTATTTCCTAAGAGTGGAGTAGTTGGATATCTTGGTCATGTTTTAATACATCTAAAAATTAACTGTAAAATAAAAATTGCTAAGTATATAGTTATAAGGTTAAATGCTAAATAAGACATCACAACTTGAAACATCAAAAGAAATTATCTTTAACTTATATAGGTTCTTTAGAAAACATAGCTTTAAAAAAAAACCATAATAGTTTATTCTTTCACTTGCTGAGTAAAAGTACTTATCTCTGGTTCAATTTCTCTATAGGATAATGTCAGTCTCTCTGAAGTGCAGTAAATAGTACAGTAGTTTTAAATGTACTTGCCATGAAAGAACACTAAGGATTTCTCCTCTACCCCTCACGCATTATATTTTATTTTACTTAGCAGGTGTGCTGGACGATGGTACCCATATTTTTTCCAGATTAAAATATGCTGCTGCAGGAGTTCTAGTCATTAAGTTGAGGAGTGGTGTATCCTGGGTTGTTAGATTTCCCCTCTAAGCTTTGTGCTGTTTTTTTTTTTTTTTTTTTTTTTTTTGCATAGGCAGCAAACATGATAAGAAGACCAACTTTCAAACAATTTTCTAATGATATTCTGTTGCCTTTTTGAAAAATAAAAGTGTTGTAAAGAACACCTAATAAAGGATATCAAGGAGGAAAATAAAAATAGTCGAGAGATGAGCTAAAATTGTTAGGAGTGTTTTTTGTTATGTTTATATCATCCAATGCATAAATGGGAGTCTGAATGTTTATTACTGTACAAGTTTTAACTTGATTTACTGGAATTGACTCATCAGTGATGGAGGTGAAATTAGTATTAAAGTTTCCCTTCCCTTATTCCTCACCCTTAGCGTCTATATAGTTATGGAATTCTGTTACCTAGGAGTCCAAGGGGGGTACAACCCAAAAACAACTGGATTCCCCCCTGCCCCCAAGCTATGTACTTAATTTTTTTTTTTACAAAACAACTTGTCACCTTCAAAGTACTCTCCATTACACAGTACATTCGTCAAATATGCAATTATATTCTTGGTAACATTTTTCAAACTCATCTGTTCGGATGGCTGACAGCACCTCCCTTTTTTTTTTCTTCACCTCTTCTACATAGTCTAATCTCTGTACTTCCATGTCCCTCTTCATTCGCGTGCAAACAAAAAGTCACAGAGTGAGGCCAGGTGAGTCAGATGTGTGGGGCAAGAGAGACATGCTGTTTTTTACCAAAAACTGGCACACTGAGATGGCTTCCTGAGCAGGTGCATTGTCATGGTGGCAAAACCAGTCCCCATCTGCCACAAATCAGACTTTTTTTGTCGCACACTGTTAACCTATTTTTTTCAGCATCTCTAAATAACAAGCTTGATTAACAGTCTGACCTGGTGGAACAAACTCCAAATGCACCACGAGTCCACTGTTTGTGAAGTTGCTGGACATCCAGAATGAGGTATGTCATCAATTGATATTTTCACCTTTTTTTTTTTTGAAATGAGAAAAGTACCTGTACACTTGAGTTTTTCTCACAGTGTGGTCCTTGTAAGCTGTGTTCAACATCACAACAGTTACTGCAGCATTTTTCCTAAGCAGGAAACACAATTTTGTAGTCATATGCTGTTCTCTTAAATTTGCCATCACAAAAAAGGAGATTTGAGTGAAATTGCTTTTCCAAAAAAATCCATTGTGACCAGAGAACCTTCCCACGTTATGCCACTGGGAGCACTAACTTGGACCGAGCTGCTGGCTGCTTGCCTAGTGGGCGGGGAGGGGGATAGCATACTATGAAAGCTCTGCCCAGTGGAACTTTTTTCTGTTTTCATTTTTTTATTGGGGGTGTGGGTATCTCCTTGTTTGTCATTAGCATTGTTAGTTTTCAAATGAAATGTTGAAGAGACTTTTTTAAAACAGCACCTAAAATCTCCTCTTTGAGAGAGAGATTTTTTAAATGTTTGTGAATAAAAAGGTGATTTGCTTTAAAATAATTGAGAATGGTGGGGAAGTACACAGGGGTATAAATGAAACAAGATTGGCCAGGAATTAATCATTGCTGAAGCAGGATAATGGACTAGGGGGTTTCTTTCTTTCTTTTTTTGGTCTCTACTCTGGTGTATATACAATTTCCCAGGACAAGTTAAAAGGTGAAATAAGATCTTAGTTTAGTGGTGCTTTGCTAACAGGTTTCCCCACTGTTTAAGAGCCTGGAAGCCTAGATTTAGGGGACCAGCTTTAGGGGAAAGCTTTTTCTCCTAGTCCTTGTCTCTTCACTGTCCGTTTCTTGAGTCCTTGGACATTACATTTGGCGTGTCCTCTGTCTTCCACTAGCAGTGCATGTGCATTTTTGCTTGCTTCATCTATTTATTTTGTATTTGAGAAGAAATTGACTTAAGCAACACTGTACTAATATTGTCTATTTAACATGTCAGAGTAAATGCATTCCCAGATGGGGTTATGACCACAGACATACTGTATTTACTTGTATATAAGCCAAGTTTTTCAGCACATATTTAATGTACTTTTTGATGGTAAAATTAGGTGCCTCTGCTGATATTCATGTTGGCTTATACTCAAGTATATATGGTATATAGAATTTATAATACATTAGGGGGGATGCAATTCAACCTATAATAAGATCCAAACTTAAATTGAGTTGAGTAAAGTAGAAATTTGAAAAAGCCCCTCCCCCCAAAATAACAGTGTATAAGAATGCCATGGTTTTTATGTTTGGACAACATAATTTTGCTACGTGCAATTTTGAAATCAAGTAGGCTTTCCTGTTATCCTGAACTAAAAATATGATTATGTAGTTGGGTTAGCATATCTGTTGATAATACTAGAAATTTCTCTTTCCTTACAGTAGATTTAGTTGAATGAGTATATTGATGGGTCTCGTTGCTTCAGGTAGTCCAGCCGTCTTCAGGAGGGAACTCAAAACAAGTGACTGCACTTGCCCACTCTGCAGCATTGACCGTTCAGAAATCCGAACAAAAGAAGATGCCTGTGGGTGCTGTCATAGCGACCAGTCAGATTTCTCCAGGTAGACTGTGGCCTGTCCCTGACCCACCACATCGGGTTTGGAACACGGTGGGGGTCTTTGTCCTCCATTTTTTGTTGTATTAAGAGAAGAGGGATGGGATGATTTGTGTTGGCACCAATGCAAGAAGACTGAAAGATAGTACCCATTGTTAGTCTCTCTGTGCTTACAGAGCCTCTGCGGAGGAGTGGGAGGTGTGCCTTGTTATAGGATGACAGAGGCAACTACTCAGGGTACTCTAATCAGATACAGGAACCTACTAGCAAATAAGTACTTTTTAATGTATAAAACTTGTTATAGCTTCATTTCTTTTTATATGTGGTTCTTTAAGATCATGTAAAAGTCCTAACTTGCATATATAAGACTGATCTCTAAACTTCAAGAATTTAAGAATAACAATTATATACTCGTATATGTTTCAGCCACCTTCTGTGCATGATAGTTTTATGACACTGGCAATTCTATAGACATTTCAAAGATCCTATAAAAATAAAGAGAGATTTTTATTTCATATAAATGATCTCTTATGCAGAGGATAAATTCATTGCCATGTTTGAATTTAAGCATAATCCCAGGGCAGGTTGAAGTTTTCTTTGATTATTCTGTATATTTTAAGCTACTGTCTTAAAATTTTCCTGATGTGGCATCACATTTTTTTTACTCTTAATTTTTCTTGTTTTTTTCTTTATAGCTTCCATTCTAAAGCAAATTACTCTGCCAGGAAATAAAATTCTATCACTCCAAGCATCTTCTATTCAGAAAAATAAAATAAAAGAGAACGGAACAACATCCTTCAGGTAATATTAGCAGTTAAAACTTAATCTGATTTAAAATGGTAATACTTAAATTTAAAAAAAGATCACCAAGAATAATACCTAAATGAAATAAATATATTAATGTCTTAAAAAACTAAACAGTTCCATAGTGAGTGGGATATATAAGCAGTAAAGTACACAAATCTGAAACAATGGTTAAATGAATTTTGACAAATGTATATATCTACTTAATGAAAATTCATCAACACCCTTAGATAGCTTTAAAGTGAATTACCTCCATATTGTTCCCCCATCAGATACTGTTCTTAGGCCCATCATCATATACCATTTATACTCGAGTATAAGCCGACCCCAATATCAGCCGAGGCACCTAATTTTGCCACAAAAACTGCATTAAAAATGTGCTGAAAAAACTCGGTTTATACATGAGTGTACAAGGTATCTTGTTTTATCTGCTCTTGGACTTCCTACAAATGGAATATTATGTGGAGCACTTTGATTTTCATCCACATTACTTTGAATATTAGAAAAATATTTTCTATTACTCAGAAATATTCTGTTGTACAAATTTAACTTCATCCTTTGTCCTGTTGGTGAACATTTGTATGGTTTCCAGTTTTTGACCATTTATAGAAAGTGACTATAAACAGAATAGATCCCCTCAGTCTAATCAAGAGTTGGTGAGTTCCATGCTAGGCTATCATCTTTGTAAGAATCCACTTAACTGTTCTTTGGTCACCCACTGTGGGATTTAAGTCCTCAGATTCCAACTTAGGATTTAAAATGCTTGTTTTTGTTCAGCTCTGAATCCCAATTTTTATCTCTTGACTATTGTGGGTGCTTTAAAACTTTCCCAGAGCTTTTTGTATGGCTTCTTTTTATGCTTATGCAGAACATCAGTGGTAAATGGCATGAGGGGACTTCTCTGTGCCTCAGTTATTTATAGCAACATGGCCCATTTCTTTGTGGATCGCAGTCCAACATGTAACCTCTACACCAGAAGGGCTTCTGGGCCCATGTTTTATTTTTGGCACCCTTGGAATCCTCGAACGTTGGTCTCTCCATCCTCTTGACATTGCCCAACGCTCTGCTCTTTCAAATAACTTTCCTACTTCTTAACAGCTGTTCTCAAGAATAAACATAGACCCACGGGAAAGTCCTCAACTCTAATTAAAAAATTAAAAATACCTAAAGTACTGGCAGTCTATTTTCTTCTGTTGTATTTAAGGTTGCTGTGAGTCAGAGCGGACTTGACAGCGCCCAACAAGAACCACCACCAAAGCTAGGCTACCCTATTCATTTCCAAATACTCGCTAGGACAGCGGTTCTCAACCGTCCTCAGGCAGTTCCTCATGTGGTGGTGACCCCCCAACCTTAAAATTATTTTCATTGCTACTTCATAACTGTCATTTTGCTACTGTTATGAATTGTAATAAAATATCTGATATGCAGGATGTATTCTCATTGTTACCAATTGAACATAATTAAAGCATAGTGATTAATCACAAAAACAGTATGTCATATATTGTGAAATTGATTTCTAATTAAAAATCAATGAAATTTTGTCTTGAAGCATGGTGTAGCATGGGTAACAGTCTTCATGCGGGGTACTCATAGGTGAGCATATCTGCATGTGGGCGAACCCGCCTGGAGATGGATAGAGGAGCAGCAGGGTCTCGGTTCCTAAGACCATCGGAAATAATGTGCTTTCCTACAGTCTTCAGCAACTGCGACCCACAGGTTGAGAACTGCTGCTCCAGTAATTCAAGTCAGAGGTGGTTTATGGCCTATGTTGTCAAAGTAATCTCTTTGTTTTATCTGAGATAATCGTCTTATATACAGTATAACTTTAGTTATTATGAAAATAAAACTTGGCTGTTGATTCTGTTAAATAAGATTATACAAGATTAGTGTTGGATCTTGTCTTGATGAATCAAAGGAGGTTATAGAGTGATAGCTTTTTCAAAACCACCCGGTTAATATTAAAAATATTTTATTTCAGACTTCCTAATTAAAAAATGTTACTTTCTTTTCAGCTTGTTAATGTACATGGCATGTGCATGGGAAACTGTATAGTGGTTAAACACCAGAGGGTGCCAGAGATCCATGTTTATTCCTCCTTATTTCAGAATCTAGCGTTACAAATCCTATCACAATTTAGCATGCTTGTATAGGTAATCCTGTTTATATTGATTGGGTACATAATGGTAAGGAATTGTCTACTTTTATCAGATGTAATAATACTTGGTGATTCTTTTTAGAAATGGTCTTACATTTTAGAGAAACAATAAAAGATTATGGATAAATATAAGGAAATATATTATTCCTGATAGTGAAGGAGTTTTACTATTGGCTTTGAAAAAAAGTAGTTTTCTTACAATAATCCAATTTTTGAAAATAATATAGGGCATAGTTAGTATGTTATTTGCGTAATTGTATTATTTTACCAATTTCAGTGTCTGTTTTTTCATATTTTAAGAATCACACACAAAAAAGGAAACAGATTCTCTGTTCATAGTGTTAAATATATTAAACAGGTTTCACCTCTCAGTACATATTGTGTGTAATTTGTTGCTTTGTCATATATTTGTGCTTATGTGTATGAACATCAGTGATACAGTCTGGGGTTTCAAAAATAATGGAAAAATGAAATTATAAAATATTAGAATTTTTCCGTGAACTTTTTGAAGCCTCTTATATGACTGATCATTCCTGATTGGGTGTTTTTCCTAAAAAAAAAAAAATCCTTTGACGATAAAAACTTCTCATCTTAGACAAGTAAGAAAGATCTGTGTGGACTGTTCTCACATTAGAGCACAGGGCTTAAGTCCAACAAAAAGCTCATCTTGGAACAGTTGCCTTGTACCAGATCTTCACGGAAATTGAGTTCTTAAGCACTCCAGATTAGGGGGATTTCATGGGTGAAGAGTTAGAGAATATGAAGTCTTCCTATGTTTTTAACCAGTATTTGCCATAACAAATTATCACTTAGGACAAATGATTTGGGGGCTTATGAATAGAAGTAAACCATGACCCAAAGGTTATATGGGCAGGAGATAGGACGATAAGTGTAGTGTATAGCATATCTCAAAATGTGGTCTGCAGAAAATTAGCTCCACAACACTTTACGAAACCTCCAAGGTTAAAGTCATTGTCATCATCACCATCGTCCTTTCCACTGTGATTGAAGCATTGTGGTGAGTGAGTAAAGCCCGGCATCATAGCATGAAGCAAGGCTAGGAGCAACCAGTATTCTTTAACTGTAACTACTTGTGTAAGTGAAAGTAAAAGAAATTGGCTTATGAATACCGTTTAAAGGAATATGTATGCTTTTAAATAAACCTCAGTCCTGGAGTACGCACTTTTAACTGATCTTTGGGACAAAATGGCAAGTTTTCAAAAAAGCTCTTAGGTAGTATACCACAATAAGACTGATCTCAAAGGGCAGTTACTTAGGCTTGTGCTGAATTGCAAGCTAGTGAACTACTTTTTCTTGTAAAATATCATTTTTAGTTAGAAGAATGACTAGCAAACTGACAGTTTCTGCTAGTAATGTTTGATCTTTTAAGTAAACTTCAAAATGTAGATAACTTGTATTCATTACTGTGAACTCAACAACTTCATACTTAGATATTCTGATGAGATTGTTGGAAGCATTAACAAATGTAAGCTTCAAATTATGATAATAAGTATACATTTGGATGATCTGCACAGCTCAGTGAACTGAGTTTTTCCAAATGATCATTAATGATGTAAAACCATGCTTGAGTAGGAGATCCATTCAGAGGTCAAGATGCCTGTGGTGGGGGGGGGGTCAGATGCTTAATCCTTCCTGAAGGCAATCTGCCTGACTGCTGTCTAGCCCCACCACTGGGGTGGGCTTGCTCCCTGCTGCTGGGGACAATGGATTACTTCTCCCTAAAGTTTGTAACCATTAGCTTGGTTCCTGTGGGTGGAGTTCACACCCTACTGATAATGGTTTATATGGAGATCCAGAAAACAGGTCAAAGTTAAGCTGCCATCCTAAATCTAGGATCCGCCCATCTTGTTACATGTACACCCTCAATCCCTCCTCTTCCTATTGAGTGTATGTCCCTAGACCACCCCCTCTTATTGCTGTATAACCTATAGTGCAACCCCTTCCTGTGACGTATGTCTTTACCTGTAATTAGTGGGCTTGCACGCCCCCAGAAGGTATATAGGCCTAGGTTAGCAATAAAGGTCTGTCTCTCCTCTCTTCCCCCTCTTCCCTCCAGTCCTCCTTCCCTTCCCCCTCTCTCCACATGGACCATCAAGCGGGGCTGAGGTGAGCAATGAATGCTACCACATAATGTGTCTGACTGCATTATTATAATAGCTCTTCTATCGCTAATGTGCTTGATTACTTTAATATAATATATATACATCTCAACCATACAATTGTGCATACTGAACCTGTGGGTAGTGGTGGTGGGGCTGCCTCCCCTCCCCCCATCTTAATACTACAGATGACCAATAGATTTTTTAAAGTTTAGCAAAAGTATTTATAAAAACAATGCCACATTTCATACCAATTATTTAATTTTGGTTGACTTTTATTAAAATGTTATTTATTTGAACACTTTAATGGGCTTACCATTTTTCAGATAAGTTAAATTTATTGATTTTAATTTCTAATGCAGTTCTCATTTTAAATCACATGACAGGCACAATTTTCTCTGGATGTAGATGAATGAAAACGTGAACAAACTTGTCTGAGGCCGCACTGTTAATAATGATCATATCAGGAACTGAACTAGTATGGTCTCTAACTTGACAATTGATCCTCTTACTTTTTATAGCTCGGCATTTTTCCATGTATGGTCCTGGGGATTTTATCACAGTTGTTTCAGTGTGTGTGTGTTTGTTTTTGTTTTTAGTACAAGTTCTAGTCCTTACTGTAGATTCATGGAAAGAAAGAAGCCTGGGTGCTGTGTGGGTGTGTATGTAAGTGTGATACCTGCATTTCTTATTTCCTATGTGGGTCCTAAGCGCTTTCACCT